CCAGGCTAGGTGATTAGAGTACACCTGTGCTCAGGGCTGTCTGGGCCAGAAGAGGATGTGTCTGTTGGTAGAGGTGCCCTGTTGTCTATGCCAACCATGAGTGCACGGGTCAGGTGGTATATTTCTGTGGACAGCATGTACCTATGGACTAGGTGAGAGTGTACCTAAGGACAGGTGTGTCTGGGCCAGGTGAAGGTATATCTAATTGCCAGGTTAAAGGGAGAGTGTACCTAATGGATAGGTGTGTCTTGGATAGGCGTGTCTAGGATAGATGAGGGTGGCCAGGGCTTCTGGACAAGATGAATGTATAATTGTGGACAGATGCCTCTGGCCATGTGAGGGTGTATCTGACAGGTATATCTAGGCTACAAGTGCATGTTTGATGGACAGCTGTGTCTGCCGTACTTAAGTGCATACCTTTGGGCAGATATGCCTGGGCAGGTGTGCCTGGTCAGGTGAGGGTATACCTGTGATGGAACAGATGGATCTAGGCTGGGGGATATATACCTGTGACCAGGTGTGTCTGGGCCAGGTGAGGGTATACCTGTGATGGAATGGATGGATCTAGGCTGGGGGATGTATGCCTGTGGGCAGGTGCATCTAGGCCAGGTGAGGGTGCCACGCTGCAGCCAGGGTCTTGCCATGCCCACCCACTAGTGCCTCACCTTGAAGCGGCGGTCGTACTTGGTGACCGAATCAGCGAAGTCCACTCGCTCCCTCTTCCCCAGGAATTGACGCAGCTCCGGCCGCTCCTCCAGCCCCAGGTAGTCACCGACGAAGTTCCGATTGATGCTATTGCGCCTCCTCTCCTTCTTGTTAAGCAGGATATTGGAAGCTGCAGGGACCGAGGGCGGAGGCCAGAGCTCGAGACACAGCTCCTCCAGATCCAGGTGTCCCTGCCCTTAGCCTTTCACCCAAAGCCTCTCACCTTCCTCCCGCATCTCCTCGTATTTCCGGACAGCCACGTGGCGCCGCCAGGCCTTCTGGATGGTTCGAGCAAAGCCATCGAACTTCCGCTCTCGCATCTCCTCCAGGAGGAAAAGCTGGGTGGGGGTTGGGTGGGCATGTGGGTGAGTCCTGGTGTTTCCGCAGAGGCTGCAGTTCCCAGTTTCCCTGGGCCCACCCTACTCACAATGCTTTTGCTCACCCACACCCATACACATGCTAATTTTTTTGACAGATGGGGTCTTTCTGTTGACACTTATTAAACAAGAAAAAGGGGCTGGGTATGGTGGCTCAGGCCTGTCATTCCTAGTACTTTGAGAGGCCAAGGCGGGTGGATCACCTGAGATCAGGAATTTGAGACCAGTCTGGCCAACATGGTGAAATCCCGTCTCTACTAAAGATACAAAAAAAAAAAAAAAAAAAAAAAAAAAAATGCTGGTGTGGTGGTAGACCCCTGTAGTCCCAGCTACTCAGGAGCCTGAGTCAGGAGAATCACTTGAACACAGGATGCAGAGGTTGCAGTGAGCCGAGATCGTGCCACTGCGCTCCAGCCTGGGTAAGAGCAAGAGTTGGTCTCAAAAAACAAAAAGAAAAAACCAGCTGACCTCGGTGGCTCATGACTGTATTCTAAGCACTTTGGGAGGCCGAGGCAGGTGGATCACAAGGTCAGGAGATAGAGATCATCCTGGCTAACATGGTGAAACACTGTTTCTACTAAAAATGTAAAAACTTAGCTGGGCATGGTGGAATGCGCCTCTAGTCCCAGCTACTTGGGAGGCTGAGGCAGGAGAATCGCTTGAACCCAGGAAGCAGAGGTTGCAGTGAGCCGAGATTGTGCCACTGCATGCCAGCCTGGCAACAAAGCGAGACCCCTATCTCAAAAAAAAAAAGAAAAAGAAAAAGACAAGGTCTCGCTCTGTCATCCAGACTAGAGTGCAGTGGTGCAGTCACAGTTCACTGCACCTTCAACCTCTTGGGTTCAAGTGATCCTCCCACCTCCGCCTCCTCAGTAGCTTAGACTACAGCTGTGAGCCACCATGCCCAGCTAATTTTATTTTTTGTAGAGATGTGGTCTTGTCATGTTGCCCAGGCTAGAAACTTTTTTTTTTTTTTTGAGACAGAGTTTTGCACTTGTTGCCCAGGCTGGTGTAGTGGCGTGATCTCGGCTCATTGTAAACTCCGCCTCCTGGGTTCAAGCAATTCTCTTGCCTCAGCCTCCTGAGTAGCTGGGATTATAGGTGCAAGCCAACATGCCCGGCTAACTTTTTTGTATTTTTAGTAGAGACGGGGTTTCACCATATTGGTTAGGCTGGTCTCGAACTCCTGACCTCAAGTGATCTGCCTGCTTCTGCCTCCCAAAGTGCTGGGATTACAGGCATGAGCTACTGCGCCCAGCTGGAAACATTTTTATCATCCTGCAAATGACTGGACCTCCCTATGTGGGGTATACACTTCTGCATTATAATATAACAGTGGGTCACCAGCTTCAGATTGCAGCTGTGCCACTTTCCACTTGTGTGCCCTTGCCAGAAACAGTATAACATCACGGTTTCTCACACTGTTAGTACAGATAGTTATACCATCCATATAAGGTTCACCCCAGTGTCAGAGATGGTAGAAACGGGAACCAGTGTGCATCTTGGAAAACCAATACAATACAGTAAATACGAACATCTGGCTGGGTGCAGTGGCTCATGCCTATAATCTCACACTTTGGGAGGCTGAGGCATGCGGATCACCTGAGGTCAGGAGTTTGAGACTAGCCTGGCCAACATGGTGAAACCTTCGTCTCTACTAAAAATACAAAAAAAAAAAAAAATTAGCTGAGCCGAGATCATGTCATTGCACTCCAAGCCTGGGCGACAAGAGAGAAACTCCATCTAAAAAAAAAAAAAAAAATCTGATGTGTAGGACGTGTTGTGACTGGTGACTGTGTGGTTGAGTAGGGTACAACCTGCACAGCCATGCATGGCAGGCCCAGAAAGGAAGATTTTGCAGAAAGCAGAGGAAAGGGTTTTGAGTTGTAAGAGTCTAGGCCAGAGGTGAGTTAGAGAATGAATTACATTAGAGCAAGTCAAAGTGCAAACTCTGAGAGGAATGTCTTTTCATTTGGAATAATAGCAGGTGAACAAGGTCAGCCTGGATATAACCACCTACTTTTAATAAACTACTGGATATTAAAATATCGTAAATCCATTGTAATAAAAACAACGGCGTGCCTGTCAGAGAATAGAACAATTAAGTGGAATAGGGCAGATGCCTGAGAAACATTCTAATTCAATGAGAAACTGTGATCAAAGGGACAATATCAATTAGTGAAGATGGGAAATACTGCAAATACAGGCTGGTGCGATGGCTCATGCCTCTAATCCCGGCACTTTTTGAGGCTAGGTGGGAGGATAGCTTGAGCCTAGGGGTTCAAGACCAGCCTGGGCAACATAGAAAGATCCCGTCTCTATAAAAAATTAAAAAACAAAAAACAAAAATTAGCCAAGGGTGTTTCCCAGGCTGGTTTGAACTCCTAGCTTCAAACCATCCTCCTGTCTCAGCCTCCCAAAGCACTGGCATCATAGGCATGAGCTACCACACCTGGCCTGATGCTGGTTTCATTTTGCTTTTTTTCTGTTCTATGTCAAATTTTTTGGTCTGTTTCTTCCAGAGTCTCTCTCTCTCTCTCTCTCTCTTTTTTTTTTTTTTTTTTTTTTTTTTTTTTAAGACAGAGTCTCACTCTGTCACCCAGGCTGGAGTGCACTGGCACGATCTCAGCTCACTGCAACCTCCACCTCCCAGGTTCAGGCAATTCTTCTGCCTCAGCTTCCTGAGTAGTTGGGATTACAGTCACATGCCACCACATCTGGCTAATTTTTGTGTTTTTAGTAGAGATGGGAGTTTCACCATCTTGGCCAAATGGTCTGAATCTCCTGACCTTGTGATCTGCCCAGCTTGGCCTCCCAAAGTGCTGGGATTACAGGCATGAGCCACTTAGTCTGGCCGACCAGAGCTCTCAGTCTCTTTCTCTCTCACTCGCAGTCTTTCTTAATCTCTCGCTCAGTCTCTCTCAGTCTATTAATCTCTCAATTGCTTTTTCAGTTTCTCTTTCAATCTCTCAATTTCTCTGTCAGTCTCCCTTTGTCATTCGCTCTCAATCTCTTTCTCAATCTCTCAATCTTTCTCTCAATCTCTGTCTCTCTCTGTCCCTCTCCCTCCTTCTCTGTCTGTCCCTAAAACGCACTCACCGACTCTGGGTTCTTGACAAAGACCTTGGTGCTCCCCATCTGGTACTGGTCAGGCTCCATGTCGACCGCCCGAAGCAGGTGCTGGACACCCTGGCGTTCGTCCCCACGCCACCGGGGCCACGTTTCGGGGGTCAGAATGGCATACCTGGGGGTGGAGGGCCGGAGTGTGGGAGTGCTTGGAGCAGACAGGGCCTGCTGGGCGTTCTGATCGCAAGGGTGGCAAGGGTGGGGGTGGGGGGGCTCCTCACCTCTGCAGGAACTTGGCGAACTGGCGGCGGTAGGCGAAGCCGGCTCTGCGCACCCTAATGTTCTCCTTCAGGCCCAGGTATTCCACTTGGTGCTTGACCCTGGTGGGGAGGGTAGACTGAGTCCCCTGCTCAGGGGGCCGGGGGGATAGTCACCAGTTCTGGGGGTGGGTGGGAGGTGCTGGAGGTGGGGGATCTGGGGGGCTCTGGATTCATGCTGAGGGAAGTTTGGGGGGTAAGTTCTGTGGTCTGGAGGGACTTCAGGGGTCATCCTGGGGACTGGGGGGAGGGATCTTATCCTGATGGTCCCTTCTGAGGTCAGTTCGCAGGTGGGGGTGGCGGGGGGGGGGCTGTGCTAGTCCCTGGGTCATCCTACAGGAGGTCAGGGAAGTGTCTCGGTCAGTTCTAGGGGTAACCGCAGGGCTCTGAGGGGACGAGTCTTGGATGGGTTGGGAAGTCACCTGTTCTCCTCCCAGTCCCGGGGCCTCTTGGTCTCGTTGGGTTTGATGCAGCGGATGTAGTGGGGTGTGCACCTCTTCAGTGTGGCCACCAGGTCGTTGGCTTGTTTCTGGGGCAGAAGTGGAGATGGGTGGGTGGGGGGGCACAGAGATGGGACCCCCTGGCCCCTCTCTTTTCCCCACCCTGGATACAGTCTGAGGAGACAGAGACAAACTGGGGGTGGCTGAGGGCTGGTAACAGGTAGGCCACAGGGACCAGATGTCCCCGGGCTGTGTTCACCTCAACTTGTGCATACCACACTAGTGGGACTGATGTGGGGTGTCTGCCTGACTCTCGAACCCAGGATGACGAGCTCTCACGTCTGCCACACTTACCACTTAGCTTGGCACATAGTAAGTGCTTAGTAGTAAAAGTTTGTCTGTTGACTGAGTAACAGAGCCCTTGAAAGAGCATTTCGTTTTGTCCTTTGGAGAGACAGGTACCTTGGGTGGTGGGTTTTTTTTTTTTTTTTGAGATGGAGTTTTGCTCTGTCACCCAGGCTGGAGTGCAATGGTGTGATCTTGGCTCACCGCAACCTCTGCCTTCTGGATTCAAGAGATTCTTCTGCCTCAGCCTCCCAGTAGCTGGGATTATAGGTGTGCGCCACCACACCCAGCTACTTTTTGTATTTTTAGTAGAGATAGGGTTTTGCCATGTTGATCAGGCTGGTCATGAACTCCTGACCTCAGGTGATCCATCCACCTTGGCCTCCCAAAGTGTTGGGATTACAGAAATGAGCCACCATTCCTGGCCAAGTATTTTTTTTTTGAGACAGGGTCTTGCTCTGTCGCCCAGGCTGGAGTATAGTGGTGCCATGATGGCTCACTGCAGGTCCAACCTCCTGGGCTCAAGCAATCCTCCTGCCTCAGCTTCCAGAGTAGCTTGGATTACAGGTGTGAGCCACTGCGCCTGGCTCACAGGTACTTTGGAAGTAGGGAACTGTGTGTATGCCTGAGAAGTTAGCCTTGGGTTTTGCATTTTATTTTATTTTTATTATTATTTGGAGACAAAGTCTCACTCTGTTGTCCAGGCTGGAGTGCAGTGCCATGATCTCCTCTCACTGCAGCCTCCATCTCCCAGGTTCCAGGGATTCTTCCACCTCAGCCTCCCGAGTAGCTGAAACTACAGGTGCATGTCTCAGGAGGCTGAGGCAGGAGAATCGCTTGAACCCAGGAGGCGGAGGTTGCAGGGAGTCAATCTCGCCTGGGCAGCAAGAGTGAAATTCCATCTCAAAAAAAAAAAATTATTGGATAGGCTGGATATGGTGGCTCATACCTGTAATCCCAGCAGTTTGGGAGGCTGAAGCGGGTGGATCACTTGAGGTCAGGAGTTGGAGACCAGCCTGGCTAACATGGTGAAACCCTATCTCTACTAAAATACAAAATAGCTGGGCATGGTACTGCGTGCCTATAATCCCAGCTACTGGGAAGGCTGAGGTGGGGGAATCGCTTGAATCTGGAGGTAGAGGTTGCAGGGAGCTGAGATCATGCCACTGCACTCCAGCCTAGGGGACAGAGTGAGACTCCAGCTCAAAAAAAAAAAAAAAAAAGATTGGATATTTATTAAGATTTTTTTTTTTTTTTTTTTTGAGACGGAGTTTTGCTGTTGTTACCCAGACTGGAGTGCAGTGGCACAATCTTGGCTCACCTCAACCTCCGCCTCCTGGGTTCAAGCAATTCTCCTGCCTCAGCCTCCCAAGTAGCTGGGATTACAGGCACGTACCACCATGCCCAGCTAATTTTTGTATTTTTAGTAGAGACAGGGTTTCACCTTGTTGACCAGGAGGCTCTCGACCTCTTGACCTCGTGATCCACCTGTCTTGGCCTCCCAAAGTGCTGGGATTATAGGCGCGAGCCACCGCGCTTGGCCAAGATTTTTTTTAAAGTCTCTCAAAATGTTTATTTTTGTCAGAATAGCTGATGACTTTCTGTTAAGTATTTTGGTTTATAATTATAATAAGCATTTCCCGCCCTTGAAAAATCCATTCAAAATATCTCAACCCTTGAGGTAAAGCACTTTAACTAAATAAAAAAAAAATCCTGATTTGTTTTAAAGGAAAAAAATCTTAAAATTCCTTTAGCTTGATAAATAGAAATAATCTCTTCTTGTTCTACTCTGGTGAACGTAAATGTATTTCCCACGGCCAAGAATCCAGTCACTTATTGGCAAACCAAAGGTCAGAACAATTCATTTACACTCTCTACTCAAACATAGTGCAATATTGCTGTGTTCATATATACTTTGCTTAGAGTTACCAACACTCTCCTGGCAAAGACAAAGTTTTGGAATGGCAAAAGCAACAGAAGTTTTAGCTCTCAAAGCTCCAGAAAGGAATGAACCTGAGTCTTCATCACGCAGACAGTCCTCAGCATTGCTTAATGTTCGGACTGCATCCGTTCCGTTTCTTTTTCGGGAGAGACGCACAGGCAGCATTGGCAGCCATGTCGAAGGCCAGCGTCTTCTCTTAAGTCTGTTCTAGCACCTTTTGCCAGAAGCAACTGGACAATATCTGCATAACCCTTCCAGGCAGCAGCATGCAAAGCTGTGTCTCCCAACTCGTTCTGCTGGTTCAGTTCAATATTTGGTTGAGTAAATAGCATTTCCACTATATCTTTGTGACCTCCACGGCAAGCCCAGTATAAGGGCAGTGCTTCCAGCTTTGTCTAAGCCATAACGCCCACTTTAAGCCATTAACGCCCACTCTGTTGCCCAAACATTCTCTCAACCAGCTCAAGTTGCCTCTTTCTGCTGCTTCATGCAATGGATTGTTGACGGATTCTGCCTGCTCAGCCACATAGTTGCTTGGAATTAGTCCAGTCCTGCCTTTGGAGGTGCCCTTCTGCCAACTGGTATCGCTCATGTCAGTAATGTAGATAATATCACCTTCCTCAAAGTATACTTCATCTGGAGTTCTGGATTCAAACGTACACAGCGCTCTGAAGACTAACTGGCCCTGGTTTGACTGGTTTGGGTGGCGGCTTCGACATCTCGCTTCCTGGAGCTGCAAATCCTAAAGGCCCTGCAGAAAAGTCCACCGCTTGCCGCCACCTGGCACTCCGGGCATCCCAAAGTTTCTTTTTGTTTGGCTTATAGCCATGAGCCTCCCAGGTCCGGTGCCCACCCTTTTTTTTTTTTTTTAGATGGAGTCTTGCTCTGTCATCCAGGCTGGAGTGCAATGGCATGATCTCGGCTCCCTGCAACCTCTGCCTCCTGGGTTTAATCAATTCCCGTCTCAGCCTCACAAGTAGCTGGGAGGACAGGCATGTGCCAACATGCCTGGCTAATTTTTTTTTTTGCATTTTAGTAGAGATGGGATTTCACCATGTTGGCCAGGATGGTCTCAATCTCCTGACCTTGTGATCCACCTGCCTTGGCCTCCCAAAATTCTGGGATTACAGATGTGAGTCATATTTTACCACAAATTTAAAAAATGGTAAATGTCTAAAAGACCAAACAAAAATTCATTAGGATAATGGTCCACTTCTGTATTTAAGGAGTTGATGGAGACTCTAAGATGCTGGTCCAAGCCCCCTAAACCCAGAACTGGAGGAAGACCTTGCTGATCAGATGAGGTCACAGAGGCAGAAGCCCCAGGGATGGTAGAGAGACAGGCATTGGAACGAGAGTCTGGAAACAGAGTCTGGACCCCAGGTAGGGTGGGACTCAGCCCCCCCCATGCCCAGTCCTCTGTCATGCACCCCAGGCCCACCTTGATCTTGGAGCCGGCGGTGCTGGGGCGCCCCTTCTTGTCTCCATCCAGCTTCTCGGGGAAAAGCATCCGGAGGAAGGCCCTGGGTGGGGGAGGGGAGAAGAGGAGTTGGAGGTGTGGCTGGACCTTGGGATACCCACCTCCAGAGGCAGGGCAGCCTCAATGCCCCAAGGTGAAATGTTCTCTCAGTGAGGATGGGAGCTGTGATGGGTGAGAGACAGAGGGGTTTTTTTTTTTTGAGACATGGTTTCACTCGGTTGCCCAGGCTGGGGTGCAGTGGTGCAATCTCAGCTCACTACAACCTCTGTCTCTTGGGTTCAAGTGATTCTCCTGCTTCAGCCTCTCAAGTAGCTGATATTACAGGCACACACCACCATGCCTGGCTAATTTTTGTATTTTTTAGTAGAGACGTGGTTTCACCACGTTGGGCAGGCTGGTCTCAAACTCCTGACTTCAGTTGATCCACCTGCCTCAGCTTCCCAAAGTGCCGAGATTACAGGCGAGAGCCACTGCACCCGGCCTTGGTTTGCTTTTTGAGACAGCGTCTCACTTTGTCCTCCAGGTTGGAGGGCATTGGTGTGATCATAGTGGCTGCAGCCTGGAACTCCTGGGCTCAAGCCAATGTGTGAATGTATTTAATGCCACTGAATTGTACATTTAATTTAATTTAATTAATTTATTTATTTTTGAGAGAGAGTCTCACTCTGTCACCCAGGGTGGAGTGCAGTAACATGGTCTCAGTTTGCTTCAACCTCCAACTTCTGGGTTCAAGTGATTCTCACACCTCAGCCTCCTGAGTAGCTGGGACTACATGTGTGCGCCATCACACCTGGCTAATTTTTGTATTTTTAGTAGAGACAGGTTTCACTATGCTGGCCAGGCTGGTCTTGAACTCCTGACCTCGTGATCCACCTACCTCAGCCTCCCAAAGTGCATGAGCTACCACGCCCAGCCTTACTTTACATATTTATTTCCTTTATTTTTCTTTGCCACAGAGAGGGAACAGCATGGATGAATTGTACATTTTAAAATGGTTAACAGGGCTGAGTGCGGTGGCTCACACCTGTAATCCCAGCACTTTGGGAAGCTGAGATGGGTGGATCAACTGAAGTCAGGAGTTTGAGACCAGCCTGCCCAACATGGTGAAACCCCGTCTCTACTAAAAATACAAAAAGTAGCTGGTCATGGTGGTGGGCACCTATAGGTGCCCAGCTACTCAGGAGGCTGAGGCAGGAGAGTTGCTTGAACCCAGAGGGTGGAGGTTGCAGTGAGCTGAGATCGTGCCATTGCACTCCAGCCTGGGCAACAACAGTGAAACTCTGTCTCAAAAAAAAAAAAAAAAAGTAGCTGGATTCGGTGGCATATACCTGTAGTCCCAGCTACTTGGAAGGCTGAGGTGGGAGGGTCACTTGAGCCAGGAAGGTGACATCGTGCCACTGTATTCCAGCTTGGGTGACAGAGCAAGACCTTGTCTCAAAAAAACTCAGAGAAAACAAAAACCAAAAAAGAACCACAGCTCTGGTTTTGTATTTCCCATTATGGCAGTCATTGGTCACGTGACAAATTGAGGCCCTTGAAATGTGGCCTGTCTAAACTGAGATGTGCTGTGCTAAAATACACACTGCAGTCCAAAAAGCATATAGGCTGCAACAATAGAATATAAGAGATTTCATTAAAAAAATATATGTGTATATATATATATATTTGAGATGGAGTCTTGCTCTGTTGCCCATGCTAAAGAGCAGTGGCGTGATCTTGGCTCACTGCAACCTCTGCCACTGGGTTCAAGCAATTCTCCTGCCTCAGCCTCCCGAATAGCTGGGATTATAGGTGCCCACCATCACGCCTGGATAATTTTTGTATTTTTTGTAGAGATGGGGTTTCACCATGTTAGCCAAGCTGGTCTCAAACTCCTAACCAAGCCTGCCTTGGCCTCCCAAAGTGCTGGGATTACAGGTGTGAGCCACCATGTCCCGCCTCATTAATATTTTTTTTACAGGCCAGATTCAATGGCTTACACCTGTAATCCCAGCACTTTGGGAGGCTGAGGCAGGTGGATCATGAGGTCAAGAGATTGAGACCATTCTGGCCAACATGGTGAAACCTTGTCTCTACTAAAAATACTCAGAAGGCTGAAGCATGAGAATCGCTTGAACCCGGGCAGAGGTTGCAGTGAGCCAAGATCACTCCACTGCACTCCAGCCTGGGTGACAGAGGGAGACTCTGTCTCAAAAAAAGAAAGAAAGAAAAAAGAATGTAGCATTAGGTATAAGTAGTAAGACAGGGATCCTCAAAGTGTTTGACATGTGGTTCCTGGACCAGCAACCTGGGCATCCTTGGGACTTGTTTCCAACGTGGAATCTCCCTGGGCAGAAGGATCACTTGAGGTCCCGAGTTCAAGACCAGCCTGGGCAATGTAGCAAGACCCCTGTCTCAAAAAAGTTTTTTAATTCTTTTTTTTAAAACTTGTCTATTCTGCCAGCAAAAATAATAATAATAAATTAATTAATTTAGCAGCATTACCTACAAAAAAGAGCTAAAGAAAAGAAAAAGAATAATTAGCTGGGTGTGGTGGCACATGCCTGTAGTCACAGCTACTCAGGAGACTGAGATGGAAAGATTCCTTGAGCCTAGGAGGTGGAGGGTGCAGTGAGCTGTGATTGCGCCACTGCACTAAGCTACGACAATAGACCTTACTTATCTCTGCGAGGACAAAAAAGCAGAATCTCAAAGTCCACCCCAGACCTACAGAATCAGAATCTGCATCTGATTCTGAACTATCAGAATCTGAACAATCAGATTCAGAACTATCTGAATCTGATTTTTTTTTTTTGAGATGGAATCTCGCTCTGTCACCAGTCTGGAGGGCAGTGATGCAATCTCAGCTCACTGCAACCTCCACCTCTTGGGTTCAAGTTATTCTCCTGCCTCAGCCTCTCCAGTAGCTGGGACTACAGGCATGTGCCACCACACCCGGCTGATCTTTGTATTTTTAGTAGAGATGGGTTTTACTATGTTGGCCAGGATGGTCTTGATCCACCTGCTAGGTGTGAGCCGCTACGCCTGGCTAATTTTTATGATTTTATAATTTTGGTAGAGAAGAGGTTTTGCCATGTTGCCTAGGCTGCTCTGGAACTCATAGCCTCAGGTGATTTGCCAGCCTTAGCCTCCCAGAGTGCTGGGATTATAGGTGTGAGCCACTGTGCCTGGTCTCTGGAGTCACTTTTTACAGAACTAGTCCATAGAAACACCATCCTGGCCACACAGCACTCCTCTAAGGTTTGTGGTGAGATGGCAGCTCTGGGGAAGATGAGGTGGTGCCCGGTCCTCCCCCCATCCCCTTGGAGGGGGTTGTAGCTGGAGGTCCCCATGCCCAGGACCACTCACTGCTCACTGGTCTGCATCAGCTCTATGAGGTCAGAGAAGAGAACGTCTCGGTTCCTCTCGCAGAAGCCGCTGACATCGTAGGAGACCTGGAGGGAGGCAGTGCTGAGGACAGTGAGGGACGGAGACCTGGGTGGGAGAGTGGGCGCAGGGTGCTTACAGCCCAGGTGGTCAAGGGTTTCCTGGGACCTGCTCTGGGGTGAAAGGATCAGGGAGTGTCTACAGCACTGGTTTCGGGGTATCTACAGTTCAGGCGATAGGAGTCAGGCTCCGTGGAGGGCTGATATTCAAGTTGAGGTTAGAGGATCGTGGCTGTATCCCAGATCAAAGGTGAGGAGAGGTGGGGGCTACAACCTAGATGAGTGGGAAGAGAGCTGCTGCCTGCATCAGAGGCCGGGGCAGCGATGACAGTTGTAGCTCAGATTGGTGGGTTGAGGGGCTGTAGCCTGGGTGGGGGGGTCCCTGGGAGTCAGAAGTTAGATTGGGTATCTCTGACCTGGTCAGTCAGGAGCCAGTGTGGGGGCCTGTATCAGGAGGATAATAGCTCTGGCTTAGCGAATCCCTGCCGGGGCTTCAGCCAGGGTTGGGGGCTGGGGCTGCTACCAAAGCTGGGGGCTCCCTGTAGTTCCAAGCAGGGCTTTTGCAACCCTGACTGCAGGAACATGGGAGCTCCAGCCCTTTCTGCTTGTTTGCTTTTATTTTTTGAGACAGTCTCACTCTATTGCCCAGGCTGGTGCAGTGGCAATCTCGGGTCACTGCAACCACCACCTCTTGGGTTCAAGTGATTCCCCTGCCTTAGCCCCCCGAGTAAGTGGGACTACAGGTATCTGCCACCACACCCAGCTGATTTTTTTTTGAGTACACACACACATACACACACACACGTATTATATATATATATATAATTTTTTTGAGATGGGAGTCTCACTCTGTTGCCAGGCTAGAGTGCAGTGGTTCGATCTTGGCTCACTGCAACCTCCACCTCCCGGGTTCAAGTGATTCTCCTGCCTCAGCCTCCCAAGTAGCTGGGACTATAGGCACGTGCCACCATGCCCAGCTAATCTTTGTATTTTTAGTAGAGGTGGGGTTTCTCCATGTTGGCCAGGCTGGTCTCAAACTCCTGACCTCAGGTGATCCACCCACCTTGGCCTCCCAAAGTGCTGAGATTACAGGCACGAGCCGCCGCTCCCGGCATCTCCAGCCCATTTTAGGGGCGCTCCTAGGAACATCTGCTGCTCATGTTGTGAGATTATCGGATCACTGCCTGTAAGTCTATAGTCCTGTCCTCTGGAGAGCGGGGCTGTGGGCATGG